GTCGTGAGCTTGGTCGTCCGTTGAGGCCGAACGCAGATGAAGCTGCTCACCCGAGATCCGAGAATCCGAGAGCTGCCAACAGCTAGCACAATCCATCAAAAGCAACATCTGGAGGCCGCGGTCGCAGTTTGTAGGTCGCCAACCTCATTGTGGCGCATGCTCAGGTAGCCACCAATACTGCAATAGGACGTCACGGCATTGCGTGTGTGGGTGCGAGTAACGTCCCGAACACAGGTTGGCCCAATGGGTAATGGTAGGGAAGGCGTTCTGGGCTAGGGTACGCAGGGCTGAGGTGGATGGTCTCGCAGCTCCCTTGAGCAAAACGAAGCCAGCATGACGGAGTGGCTGTGGTCGGCGGCTAGCCAGCTAGAACGTCCCTGCAACAAGCTGAACAGAACACATTTACGAGAACCTCGGATCCTCACAACGCGAGTCACGGACGGACTCTGCGACGAGATCATTTTCTATCCAGGTCATGTTGTGCACCTCTGACTCGACGGAAGTAGTTGTTGCCTGTTGCCGGCATGTTCTGTATCCACAGTATCCAGTACGTACTGTACAGTATTTGTTTCACATGAAACTGGTGGTGCTGCCGCTAATAATTATTATTATGATTCCGACGGTTCCAGGGCAAAGAAAAGTGGAGACAACTAAACGATAGAATGATAACAGCTGCACAGAGATGATAGCCAGTGAAGCCGTGGGAACGAGAAAAATAGAGACGTTTATGATCAGCCAAAGCCTTTGTGAAATTGTGTCGAGGCAAATCTACAATGACTATGTCATGCAATACGCGGCTATCTGAGTCCACATTAGTAGATCTAACATAACAGGGTTCATGACCTCGTGAACTCTTGCAAGTATGGGTACACGCGAACGCATGCACTGTTGCAGTTGCACGCCGCAGCTGTGTCACCCGGGACACCACTTGAGAGGTGTGCTAAAAATTTAATTAATTTCGGTACCAGAAAGCCTCACACGGCCCTCACTGGCCCCTCATGCTCAGCGCCCTGAGGACTTATTTAATAGATTGAGTAAAATAGAATAATTAGAAATTAGGATGAAGTCCTGAATGACCTGATCGATGATTGGTGTCAGTCGACTCAGTGTTTGTATGATTGTGCAGTCGACTAGTCGACTGCATACTGTGCATAGTCATTACGTAGCGACGTCTTCACGTGACAGCCTCGGGATGCCATGGTATACATGGTATACCATCAACAATCAAGCAAATCTGCTGTGCTAGCGAGTACTGCAGGAATTTTTCGGACGGAATTTATTTTCGTACGATTTCGTACACGGCCTCTTTTGTACTAAAATTAATTCCGTACTAAAATTTGTTTATGTGAAATTATGTACACTATACATGCGTACTGCATGCAAACACGTGTATTTAGCATGCAGCACTGTACGAAAATATAATCCGTACGAAAGGTCGAAATTCGGCTTTGTCCGAAAATATTTCCGTCCGAAAATTTCCTGCTATACAGTATTGTCTTTCCATCGAGAGCCTTTCCTCCCATGATCATGCTCCAGGACGGGCAGGAGATCTGCCATGTCCCCCAGCTGCAGCCGGCCCAGGCGATGCTGTCACATGACTTGTCGAGAATCTGCGCTTGATCCAGATTCCAGTGCTTTCCATTCTTGGCAAGTAGTTGTTTGAAAAGAAAATCTTCTTCGACCTGTTTGTGCCTTTCGGTCTGGTGTTCGACCGCTAGCAGCGTACTCGCTTCCAGCAAGCGAGCAGTCTCAAGCGAAGATAGCCTGGCCGGCGTGCGTCCGTCCGTACTAGTGCTGCTAGTCTGCGATACAGTCAGTTGCGCTGATCAGGGGCTTCGGCGTGGTTTGTTTGTTCTGCGATTGGGGCCGCGTGATCCGCTGCGGTCGTGTCTTCTGGGGGTAGGCCGAGAAACATTTCGCTACCACCTGGTGAAGCCAGCTCTTCAGAATGGGTGGACGATTTATTCGAATCAGCAAGGACGGCTCCAAGATCTCCTACGGGTAAGGCTAGCGCCGTAGCGACCTACAACATAGCGTAGCTTATCAGTACTGCATTGAGACAGTTTTTGAATCGTGTAGACTCTACTACAGACTACAGCGTCTACTAACTACTTACTACAGGTGAAGGAATCCTGATAATTCGAACCTCAAAATGCCAGGAAAAACTTCTAATTATCCGGACCTTCTAATTATTCAAACATGAACCCACAACACAACATGTATGTCAAAATGCTCAAATGGTCACGCAGAGTTGCGCTATGGACCTTAGACACATATTTCACGGATACTGAGCTGACCGGCACAGCCTGCTCATGCAAACTGAACTGACCAGTACAATGTACAGTGAACTTCGAATTACACTTTACTAACTTCGAATTATCAGCACAAATCCCACACATTTTCTATGTAAGTCGAATCTGTGGGACTTCTAATTAGCCGGACATATCCAGTTCAAGGTTCGAATTATCAGAATTTTTTATGTGGGAATCGTATTGATAGAAATCGGTCTTGGAAAAACTTCTAACTAAGCGTTATGTTTGAATTAAGCCATATTTACAGTATCAGGATTCCAGCTGTACTGGTGTAGCGCCCACAGTCACACAGTACAGTGTAGTGGTTGCTGGTGAGGATCACGATTGTACAGAAAACAGCGTTGTGTATACGCTTGTGTTGTGAAGATCATAATGATTACAGTCAGCCGTATAAGGGAAGGCGTAGGCTGCTTTTAACACGGCTATACAATTGAAAAACACCACTGACAACAAAAGCCATTGTGCGAAGGGTATGGCAAGACCAAGCAAAAACTGCTTGCTGGTCCTGAAATTAATTCCTGATGACCGCATTCCATAGTACCATCATGGAGTCCTACAAGAAATCATTTTGCTTTTCATAAATTTGTCTTTTCCAAACAAGCAATGACCAATGTCCGTAAATTTCTTGACCATGCGGTGGCGCATTCAAGAAAAGAGACAAATAGGCAGGGTCGAGCAGACGAAGAGAGAAATAGAGAGAACCTATGCCATGGAGGGGGGGGGGGGTAGCTCTGTGCAGAGGCTGTTGCCATGGGAAACACAGCATGCAGTGTGAAGCAAATTGCGGCTAAGCAAGTAGGACGTCTAAGATAGTTTCTAATTGTGCTCTTGTTTGCTGAAGTGCTGTTGACCTGGGGCTCTCGAGTTGTCGAGTCATGCTCATCTTGAGAGGCTGGCTGGTTGACAGGCAGCTCATATGTGTACAAGACGTTAGCGCTGTCATCTGTTGGACATCGCCACTGGCCTGTGGTACTAACTGTGCACCCAGAGCATGCCAGCTAGTGTCAGTGCGTGTGTTCGCGTGCGTCATCTACAGACGGGCGTAGTCACATGCAGTTCATTCTCTCAGGGCTGGGCTGGTGTTTGTGCCAGGAAAGGCGGTCGAAAACGCGAGCTTAGGGTGTTGTTCTGCGTAGCACTGCTTCGAAGTGTAGATGTCTGTGTAAGACTGAAAAGCATGCCGTCACTTGTATGCTGTTGTCACGTGAGTTCAGTTGATCACATGCTTACGTTTGATGTAGATGGTGTCGGCGGGTGAAGTGGCGTTGCATGTCTCGTGCACGCACACACGGGGAGTTATGCTGACTTGGCCTGGCATGTGACTGGCTGCTCGAGTAGACTCGGAGTGCATGCTGTGTTCACGTGTGCTTTGGGCTGTGGCTCACAATGGGCGCAAACCAAAAACCAGTTTCTCTGGTATGTTGCGTTCTCCACTGCTTGGCATTGGCCAATCGCTTTCCTAGCACGAATGTGTGACATCAATCGCTACATTTTTCTCAGCATCTCAGCCTTACATCAATGACTAACTTTACACATTGAAGGCTTGCATGTGGATGATGTCATCCTTGTGCTTTTACCTAACGGTATTGTATGTGTTAGTGTGTCTTTTGGCTGGGGGATGGGGATGGATGGAGTCGGGTTCTTGCCAAACAGGTTGTTGCGTTCCTGACAGATGGGTGATTGGCTTGCGTCAACGGGAGGATTTCTGGGGTGGTATATAGTGCTCATCTCCTTGGCCTTCTGACACAGAAATGAAGAGCGCACGATTTTCGCAGCTTTTGATTTTTCCCTACAACAATGGATACATGTTTATCTGGGTTTTTTTGTGCCGAGTACGAAATTGACATCATGAGTAGCTTCTTCTTCATCAGCTAGTGTGTTGCTATGGCAACCTGAGAACAGTGTGTGCCTGCACACTGTCGTTAGCTATGCAGCGTGCGGATGATGTCACCGCTGCTTTCGCGTTGTGCCGTGTACGGGTCTTTGTAGTGGGAAACGTTCTTAATGATAGCTTGCATAGACCTCGGTCCTACCGGTAGGACCTACCGGTAGGACCATCATACACAGACATGCTGCATGGCCTCTGTTCTAACATTGACCTAAAAATTGACCCTAAACTGTTGCTCAGGGGCTAATGAAGGAGTCCACAAATTTTAGACGTGATCGCACAAGGCATAGTGTGAAATTCCATGGTAACAGCAAATGGTTACCATGGAAACGGTGTATGGAATTATGCATTCCACTGCCTTGGCAGACTAATAAAAACATTAGTACCTCACCACGATTGATGTGCCATGGTCAAAATTCACTTTGGACAGAGTTGCTAGCGCTCCGACAGGAGTATGTGCGGCCATTTTGACAATTGATAAAATAGCGCGTATGCAATGCACTGGACATAGTCTTGCATTTTGCGCCATTACTTTGCCTGACAAAGACCTCATCTCAACAATTGTTTCAAGAAATTTCTCAACCAAAGCACTTTTGCAGCGCGATTTCTTGGGTCCTACCGGTAGGACCCGTGGTCCTACCGGTAGGACGGCATGCAAGCTATCATTAATGATTAGGCTGTGTGGTTAGGTTGTGTGTGTGTGTGTGTGTGTTTTCTTTTTGCTGATGGTGACACTTGTGATCGTGGTCATGAACCGAATTCCATGCTTTGTGTATTCCTGTCTGTTCGTGTGCACCCAGGGGTCACCGCTACAACTGCAATCGTTGGCGAGTTTCCAGAGTCCTCAGCACCAGATGACAATGCGAGTTCTCCTAATTGTACGTCTATCTAACTGCCCGTGGCGTAATGTACACTAGCACATCGAGACAGCTGTGTATTATTTAAGAGTACAGTCAGCCCTCGCTTAACCGCACACATCCGTTTTCCACGAAAAAAATATCCGGATAGGCGAGGGAACTGGATAACCGAACACCAGTTTTGTTGGATGCATCACGCATGCTGTAAATCTGTAATCAGCTATTTTCTTCCGGATGGTGAGGGATCCGGATAAAAGAGGACCGGATAAGCGAGGTCTGACTGTACTCTAGATATAACGTATACTGTAGGTATAATTTGAAACTCGGATGTTGAGCCATAAATGGGCGTCGAATGTCTCAGTACTCTGTCAGTTTTGTGCCTAGTTATTGCACTTTCTGACTGTATATAGTATCCAGTTACAGTGATGGAGAGTTACTCTTAACTCGTATTCATATGTCCTTTTCTTTTCTACTGTAGGTATAAGTACTATTTTTTATTTTTTTTTATTTTTTACTATTTTGGAGGGCCCCGCACTGTAGTTTACTGTCTCTTAATTTGCTGGGCAAAAGTCCTATATATAGGATTTGAAAATGCGTGACCTTTATGCCGTTGTTATTGGTCATCATGAGTCATTCATGACCCATAATAAGAGCATAATGGTTTTATTAGAAGCTGTAAATATGTTTGAGGCATGGATGTTTACTTTTTAGGTTCATAGGACATCATGAATACCCATTTTGAGCAAGGATTGGAATTTTGAGCAGCATTGTTCAGCTGGTGTCATGGGAAGGACTGAAGCAGTGAATGTGCAAAAGAACATTACAGGTGTGGCACGGGGTGGTTTCATGACGACATATCGCACATGCCGTCGTGAAACTACCAATTTTAAGGATAAAACAAGGTCCAGCAAAATCTCAAATCCTATATATAGGATTCAAAAAATAGGGCACAGGCCTTAGAAATATTGCGCAAGGAGATGAGCCTTAGATGTTAGTATTTGAAAAAAATATCTTATTCAACTCTCCATATCGACTAAGACCTAACGCGGAAGAATTGGTCACATACGTTTCCCTATGCTCATGCCACACCCATTTTGAGTTGAAAAATATGACCAAAATCCTATATAGGATTTAGCAAATTAAGAGATAGACCCATTTGCGCATTGCCAAATATGGAATGCATGAGTAATGCTTGCGAGTACGCTGGGATCAGGAATGCACTGTTCAACACCCCGGACGACCATGCCCAGGTGGCTGTGAAGGGTGTTTAGGGTACTAATTACGTCATTGCACAATGGGTCCATTGAGGTTATTCGATTACATGATCAGTTGAGATGCATTTCTGATTTCACGCATTTCACCATATCATCAGACGGCGACATTTTAGTAAATAGAGAGGTTCCAGGGTACGATTTTCCGTGCCAAAATCCGTATGGACGCTACGGATTTTTTCCAGGCGTGCTCCATACGATTTTTCGGCACGGAGAATCCGTGTGGACTGGCTTTCATCCGAACCATGTTTCGTATGGAGATTTTGCGTCATCGGGTGCAGAAAGATTTTTCGCGTACAAATTTGGTACGAGAAACATCGATTTTCCGCGGGAAGTTTTGATTTCGGTACAAATTTTCAAAATAAAAAGGCATAGCGCGGGGAATGTGACGTGTTTGTGATCGTAACCTAGGCAATGACGGCAAACACATAAGTTCCGTACTCCGAAACATTTCACTGCTCAAAAACGACGTATAAAAAATCCGTAGCGCCTCTACGGATTTTGGCACGAAAAATCGAACTCCGGAACCTCTCTAATGTAGCAAGTATTCAGCTATTTTCGTCTTTGAGGCTTAACATTTGTTGCGGATGAAATTATTAGTTTATGACAAAGTGTAAAAGGCATGGGCTGTACCGGCTGAAGTTTTAATGCGGCCGAAATGTGTAGTCCCTGGCTGATATCAAGTGTAATGCATCAAGCATGGCATCATGAAAAGTCATCTTTAGGTCACCGATTCACAAGCATGCGAAAATTGTAAAATCGAATCGAATGTATGTAAATTGTGCTAATTAGTGTTCGTTTCCGTTTGCTTTCTCATTTGCCTGTGCACGTGTGTGTGTGTGTGTGTGTGTGTGTGTGTGTGTGTGTGTGTGTGTATGTGCACGTTCGTATGTGTGCAGGTATAGATTTGACCATTGACAGTTGTAGCCCTTCCAGTTGTCCAGCTGCACGCGACGCTCCGTTGCCTAGCCAACGCTACGCCCCCACCAACCAAGAGCTATCCACCGAGACAATCACCGCAGACAGACCCACATCGTTACAGACATCATCAACAACAGCAACACCACCACAAGCACAACACTCCCCTCTAGAAGCAGTAGCAGCACCAAGCGTCACAATTAGTACAACTCCACCGAAGAACATTACCGATAAAGTCACGTCTGTTAGTGTAACTCCCCACCGTATTCTTAACAGCACTGTTGCCGTTACCATGACTACAGTAGCAGCGCCGCGCCCCGGCAGTATTGGCGCCGTCCCCGCTATGCCATCTCTTCGCGTGCTCGCCCCCATGGACACTGAAGACCTATTCTCGCGCACGTCCGGCTCTGTGGTGGCCCGCCAGCGCTCTAGCAGCTTTTCAGCGCTGCACGGCAGTGCTCCTTCATCTTACAACTGTCCCACCCCATTCTCTGCCCTGGCTCACAACCGCAACGGCAGTGCCATCGGCGGTTTGCTAGACTCCTCCAGCAGCTGCTTAGCCCCAGAGAGCTCCTCATCCAACTCTAACTACCATCACCACCAGACGCAGCAGCAGCAGCACCAGCACCAGCAGAAACTGCGACCTGAAAGCCTTTCCTCCATTGACGTCAATGAAATTCACCTGCATGAGGCCGACTGGCAACTCCTGTACGAGGATGTCAACAGCATGGCGAGGGAGTCGCTTGATTTCTCCAACGGCAACTTGTCGTTTGTGTCTGAGAACACTGATTGCAAAATGGAACAGGCCATGTTCCTACCGCAGCAGCCGCCGACAGCGCAGGACAACAGCCAAAGCGTAATGCCGCCAGCTGGCATTGCTGGATTTGACGACGGCTTTATGCAGCGTCCGGCGGCGCCTAGGTCCGCGGCTGGCTTCTCCAGTGCATCCACTGCTGCGTTCTGCTCGTCGTCCATGTCATCCTCGTGCACGTCCTCGCGCACGTCCACACCCGAGTCCTCTCACTCCGACAGTCCAATGAGTGGCGGTGCCAGTCGCAGCACCAGTGCTGAATCTCTGTTCTACTGCACGGCGGCCGGCAGCAGTGCTGCTGGTGCTGGCGTGGCCATGTCGGCGCCGGCTCCTTTCCTGTCGCCGTCGTCCGCCCCAACCTATCGCACCGCCGCTGCTGCTCCCGACACGAACCACCAGGTGAAGTCGGTGGCGTCCCAGCTACTCACCTTTCTGGCCGGCGCCGTCGACCAGGAGGAGGAAATGCAGCATCAGCAGCAGGCACAGATTTGCCCGCCGAACGCCATGCAGCTCTTTCCCGCAGTGGTGCAAGCTCCGCCGCATGCCGCCCCCGGCGTCGTGTCGGCGTTTGTGGACGATGGTAACCACAGGGCAACCCACTCCCCCGGTTGCCATGCGCTCCTTGCAATGGCACCCTCGACGCTCAGCGCCACCTCGTCATCGTCAAACTCGTCGCTGGACGAGCAAGCTGCGGCTGCGATCGGCGCTAGAGGCTACGCTCAGTCATTCGGCATGCCGTCTGCTCTGGCTCGCAATGCTCACCCGATCAATGTGTCCACCGCCGCTTCGGCCAGCGATAGCACAGCCATGCGGCCCGCGTTCAGCCAGCACCCGCTACTGGGAGACGTCACGGGAACCTGGTCGTGCCCAACAGCCATGCAGCAGCAGCAGCAAGCACATCAGATCGCCTTTCTGCCCGAGATAGCTTCTCCGTTCTCCGGCTCGCAACTCTCTGCCACCGACTCGGCCGCGGAGCTGTCGGCCAAGAGCGCGTCACCCACTGGTGCTGGAACATCGGAGGCGGACATGCTATGCCCGCCTCTGCCCATACTGCCGTCGATCGCGCGCGCAAGCTTCTCGCACCGCCAGCTCGTGTCGGACAGCGACGAGGACTTCTCTCCGTCGTCGTGCCAGCCCCCCAACTGCAGCAGCCGCCGCAGCAAGTCCAACAGCGCCGCTCGCATTCGTCGCGAGCGTCTTCGCCGCAACGAGATGGAGGTGGTGGCGCTGCGGCGCGAGAACACCGCTCTGCGTAAGGAGGAGAAACAGCTGAGAGAGCAGGTGGAGCGTGTTCGCCAGGCCGTCATCTGCCGCATGGCCAAGGAGAAAGGGCTGGCGTTCAACTCGCCCGGCGCGGCGCCTTTCACTGGCGTATAAGTCAAACACACATACTCTCTCTGTCTCTATCTATCTATCTCTCTCTCTCTCTCTCTCTTTCTCCCTCTCTCTCCCTCTCTCTCTCTCTCTCTCTCTCTCTCTCTCTCTCTCTCTTTGTGTGTGTGTGTGTGTCTCTCTCTCATTCACACACGCACACACACACACGCACACACACACACACACACACACACACACACACACACACACACACACACACACACACACACACACACACGTACACACACGCCAAACAACAATGCTAGTTTGTTGTATAGTTTGCTGCACACGCCTATCTGCCCCGTGTCGTAGCCTCACCCAATCCACTGATACCAGGCACTGAACCAGACCAGACTACCATCTACTTATGCATGTATGTATGTATGTATGTGTGTATGGATGTATGTATGTATGTATGTATGTATACCGGACAAGACTTATTGAACTGACGTGTCGCAACAGCAGTAAAGTTTAATTTTTTCCCCGTGCCCCATTCGCCGGGCTACTCACCTCTCGCCACGTTTTCCCCCTTCACTCCTCATCGACCGTCCCTAGCACGCCCGCTCACTTCTCATTGCCATATCGGCGCAGTAGTGATAGTCCATAGAAGACAGGCGCACCATTCCCGATAGACTCCGGCTTCACAGATAGACCTGACACAGCACCTTGGACACCTATTCCTGCCTCCCGTTATGATTACGACTAGTTTGATATCCCCCTCCCCCCCCCCCCCCCCCTCCCTCGCCCTTTTCTTAGACACTGGATGATTACGAATAGCTTGACTTTCCCGCTCTCTTTCTCTTAGTCACTTTCCCGACACATGCACCGTTAATGTGTACTGTCACCCCCCCCCCTCTCCCCTATATCACTTCCTCTTGCTTGCATTCCTGGTATCTCGGATGTTTGCCACCGCTTGTATACATGTATGCACACTGCACAACAGGGCGGCAGTTTGTGAATGCTGAGCTTTCGCTCTTTTTCTTTCAGCCGATTGCATTACAGAAACCTGTGTTGTCTTCTGGTTGTGTTTTTTTGTGTTTTTTGTGTTTTGTTTTCCTTCCCTGTGTTTTCCTAACCAAGAGTGGTTTTTTTAACTTTTAATATAAAAAAGTGTTAACCCCCGTGATGTTCTTTGCAATGACGTGCCTGGCACTATGAGCAGCTTGCTGTATCAGATCGTGTCCATAGCCCCGTTTAAAAAAATTATTTCAGGCCTCAGGTTGCTGTCGATCAATTCGTTTCCGTTTTGCTGTCTTGACTTCCCTCAGTACCGCTTGGCTGTCCTCTTGTGCCGCATCTCTTTCGAGCCAGGGGTCTTGAGTGCATGAGCCCGGTCAGTTGAGGCTTTCCACTGAAGTGTGATTGAACTTGCTTCTCTGAAATAAGTGCACATCACACTGGCCCATATGTTGTAGTCTTTTGGACGCTGAGTCGATTGGTTTTGGTCCGAAAAGGCTGCGATGCAGCGTTCCTCCTTTATTCCCAATCGAACATGGTTGAAGAAGCGGTCACGTGCTCCTGCGTACGCCAGTCACCTGGTCACCGTGCCTGCTGGGTACAACTTACTAGCCTGTTTGACCTTTTTTGGGTGCAGTCCTGTCACTCGAGTTGAACTCGAGTTGAGCCTTGGTGTGAAAGTTGTCGCCTGCTGGCGTGGTGACCAGGTGATTTGGGCACCCAGGAGCACGTGACCGCTTCTTCAACCATGTTCGATTGGGAATAAAGGAGGAACGCTGCATCGCAGCCTTTTCGGACCAAAACCAGTCGACTCAGCTTCCAAAAGACTACAACATATTGGGCCAATCGCGGTCATCCGTGCTTTTATAAGAACGAAATGGCGCTTTTAGTGACATTTTGCATACAAATCCCCATCTAGTAGGGTGCAGTCACCCAGTTTCGGTGGAAGTGCGCGAGTTCGATTGGGATTCAAGTAGGAAGGGAGCGTCTCAGCTTTCTCGGACCAAGACCATTCGACTCAGCACCCCGAAGACTATAACTGGTGAAATTTTAATTTTTGCCTTAACTTCCCCTTTAACCTGGGTATACAACTCCTAGCTGCTATAGACGTCTGGACCGTTCTGCGAATTCAAATAGAAAGTACGTATCTACCTACCTACAGTCCATTTCAAAACTATAGACGCGTACCAGGGAGTCGTAAAATACGGTATTTTACGACTCCCTGACGCGTACCAAGGCAAAAACCGTTATGCCAGCATCTATACCACATAAAATCTGTGATCACTTTGTGCATAATTTTTCCAAATTGGGCGTCTGTTATCCAATCATTTAGAAACTATAATGAGAGTAATTGTGGAGCGGTCCTGAGCAATATTCCGAAAACTATTCTCAAAAAGTTCCAGCCGAATTTGAAATATTTCAAAAACCCTACGCGTCTATAGTTTTGAAATGGACTGTAGACTAGGCCTCAGCGGCTAATGCTAGCATTAAAGGCCTTTTTTGGAAACTAGCATTGCTCTAGCATTGCAAGCAGGTTTTATGGGGTAAAAAGCATTAAAAGGGGCCTGGGGGCTAAAAACCTTTCCAAGTCATACGCTGCAATGACCCATATGGTAATGTTTGCACCAATTATGGAGTCTGGGCCTCTTCTGGCACACAGCAAGTGCACAACAGGATTCAAGGGTACATATGTGCCATACAGTAACAAAATGGGTACTCTTGGTCCGGCCACAGTCAAAATACCGTTACCGCTAGCGTTATCGTCTCAATGCTAAGGGTGCCTATTTAGAAGCGCCAAACCTCCACACACACACCATGGTGCCCTGTTTCATCTGATCGTGTCTACAATGAAATTAGACACAAGACCATCCGAAAAAGTATTTCTGTACACCATTTTCTTTCCTTTTTATTTGTGCTGAAACAAGCATTAATGCTGCAAACGAGCGCTCAACCTAGCATTAGCAACCAAAATAACTAGCATTGCCAAAAGCATTTTTGCCCAAAAAAACTAGCATTAGCCGCTGAGGCCTACTGTAGACCAGGGAATACAGTAAAACCTGGTGTAGGCGACCTCTGTGTTTAGCGACCACCTGCTTTTAACGACCTCTGGGTTTAGCGACCACCTGCTCTTAACGACCTCTGGGTTTAGCGACCACCTGCTGTTAACGACCTCTGGGTTTAGCGACCACCTGCTTTTAACGACCTCTGGGTTTAGCGACCACCTGCTCTTAACGACCTCTGGGTTTAGCGACCTCTGGGTAGTAGTAGTAGTAGTAGTAGTAGTAGTAGTAGAATTTATTATTTTGATAGGGAAGGCCCTACAGACGTTGCCGTCTTGGTTTAGCGACCTCTGGGTTTAGCGACCTCTGGGTTTAGTGACCTCTGGGTTTAGCGACCACCTGCTCTTAAGGACAGTTTTCCATGCACCGACAGTTCTACACAGACACCGTGGGACCTGGTTCTAAAGACCACCTGGCTTTAACGACCGCTTTTACTTGCACCGTGGGGGTGGGGTGGTCGCTTAAACCAGGTTTTATTGTATTTTACTACTCCCTGCTATCGACCAAGGTTTAGCCATCATGACCCGCTCCCTGCTATCGACCAAGGTTTAGCCATCATGACCCGCTCCCTGCTATCGACCAAGGTTTAGCCATCATGACCCGCTCCCTGCTATCGACCAAGGTTTAGCCATCATGACCCGCTCCCTGCTATCGACCAAGGTTTAGCCATCATGACCCGCTCCCTGCTATCGACCAAGGTTTAGCCATCATGACCCGCTCCCTGCTATCGACCAAGGTTTAGCCATCATGACCCGCTCCCTGCTATCGACCAAGGTTTAGCCATCATGACCCGCTCCCTGCTATCGACCAAGGTTTAGCCATCATGACCCGCTCCCGGCTGAGACCAAGGTTTAGCCATCATGACCCGCTCCCTGCTATCGACCCAGGTTTAGCCATCATGACCCGCTCCCTGCTATCGACCAAGGTTTAGCCATCATGACCCGCTCCCGGCTGAGACCAAGGTTTAGCCATAATGACCCGCTCCCTGCTATCGACCAAGGTTTAGCCATCATGACCCGCTCCCTGCTATCGACCAAGGTTTAGCCATCATGACCCGCTCCCTGCTATCGACCAAGGTTTAGCCATCATGACCCGCTCCCTGCTATCGACCAAGGTTTAGCCATCATGACCCGCTCCCTGCTATCGACCAAGGTTTAGCCATCATGACCCGCTCCCTGCTATCGACCAAGGTTTAGCCATCATGACCCGCTCCCTGCTATCGACCAAGGTTTAGCCATCATGACCCGCTCCCTGCTATCGACCAAGGTTTAGCCATCATGACCCGCTCCCTGCTATCGACCAAGGTTTAGCCATCATGACCCGCTCCCTGCTATCGACCAAGGTTTAGCCATCATGACCCGCTCCCTGCTATCGACCAAGGTTTAGCCATCATGACCCGCTCCCTGCTATCGACCAAGGTTTAGCCATCATGACCCGCTCCCTGCTATCGACCAAGGTTTAGCCATCATGACCCGCTCCCTGCTATCGACCAAGGTTTAGCCATCATGACCCGCTCCCTGCTATCGACCAAGGTTTAGCCATCATGACCCGCTCCCTGCTATCGACCAAGGTTTAGCCATCATGACCCGCTCCCTGCTATCGACCAAGGTTTAGCCATCATGACCCGCTCCCTGCTATCGACCAAGGTTTAGCCATCATGACCCGCTCCCTGCTATCGACCAAGGTTTAGCCATCATGACCCGCTCCCTGCTATCGACCAAGGTTTAGCCATCATGACCCGCTCCCTGCTATCGACCAAGGTTTAGCCATCATGACCCGCTCCCTGCTATCGACCAAGGTTTAGCCATCATGACCCGCTCCCGGCTGAGACCAAGGTTTAGCCATCATGACCCGCTCCCTGCTATCGACCCAGGTTTAGCCATCATGACCCGCTCCCTGCTATCGACCAAGGTTTAGCCATCATGACCCGCTCCCGGCTGAGACCAAGGTTTAGCCATCATGACCCGCTCCCTGCTATCGACCAAGGTTTAGCCATCATGACCCGCTCCCTGCTATCGACCAAGGTTTAGCCATCATGACCCGCTCCCTGCTATCGACCAAGGTTTAGCCATCATGACCCGCTCCCTGCTATCGACCAAGGTTTAGCCATCATGACCCGCTCCCTGCTATCGACCAAGGTTTAGCCATCATGACCCGCTCCCTGCTATCGACCAAGGTTTAGCCATCATGACCCGCTCCCTGCTATCGACCAAGGTTTAGCCATCATGACCCGCTCCCTGCTATCGACCAAGGTTTAGCCATCATGACCCGCTCCCTGCTATCGACCAAGGTTTAGCCATCATGACCCGCTCCCTGCTATCGACCAAGGTTTAGCCATCATGACCCGCTCCCTGCTATCGACCAAGGTTTAGCCATCATGACCCGCTCCCTGCTATCGACCAAGGTTTAGCCATCATGACCCGCTCCCTGCTATCGACCAAGGTTTAGCCATCATGACCCGCTCCCTGCTATCGACCAAGGTTTAGCCATCATGACCCGCTCCCTGCTATCGACCAAGGTTTAGCCATCATGACCCGCTCCCTGCTATCGACCAAGGTTTAGCCATCATGACCCGCTCCCTGCTATCGACCAAGGTTTAGCCATCATGACCCGCTCCCTGCTATCGACCAAGGTTTAGCCATCATGACCCGCTCCCTGCTATCGACCAAGGTTTAGCCATCATGACCCGCTCCCTGCTATCGACCAAGGTTTAGCCATCATGACCCGCTCCCTGCTATCGACCAAGGTTTAGCCATCATGACCCGCTCCCTGCTATCGACCAAGGTTTAGCCATCATGACCCGCTCCCTGCTATCGACCAAGGTTTAGCCATCATGACCCGCTCCCTGCTATCGACCAAGGTTTAGCCATCATGACCCGCTCCCTGCTATCGACCAAGGTTTAGCCATCATGACCCGCTCCCTGCTATCGACCAAGGTTTAGCCATCATGACCCGCTCCCTGCTATCGACCAAGGTTTAGCCATCATGACCCGCTCCCGGCTGAGACCAAGGTTTAGCCATCATGACCCGCTCCCTGCTATCGACCCAGGTTTAGCCATCATGACCCGCTCCCTGCTATCGACCAAGGTTTAGCCATCATGACCCGCTCCCGGCTGAGACCAAGGTTTAGCCATAATGACCCGCTCCCTGCTATCGACCAAGGTTTAGCCATCATGACCCGCTCCCTGCTATCGACCAAGGTTTAGCCATCATGACCCGCTCCCTGCTATCGACCAAGGTTTAGCCATCATGACCCGCTCCCTGCTATCGACCAAGGTTTAGCCATCATGACCCGCTCCCTGCTATCGACCAAGGTTTAGCCATCATGACCCGCTCCCTGCTATCGACCAAGGTTTAGCCATCATGACCCGCTCCCTGCTATCGACCAAGGTTTAGCCATCATGACCCGCTCCCTGCTATCGACCAAGGTTTAGCCATCATGACCCGCTCCCTGCTATCGACCAAGGTTTAGCCATCATGACCCGCTCCCTGCTATCGACCAAGGTTTAGCCATCATGACCCGCTCCCTGCTATCGACCAAGGTTTAGCCATCATGACCCGCTCCCTGCTATCGACCAAGGTTTAGCCATCATGACCCGCTCCCTGCTATCGACCAAGGTTTAGCCATCATGACCCGCTCCCTGCTATCGACCAAGGTTTAGCCATCATGACCCGCTCCCTGCTATCGACCAAGGTTTAGCCATCATGACCCGCTCCCTGCTATCGACCAAGGTTTAGCCATCATGACCCGCTCCCTGCTATCGACCAAGGTTTAGCCATCATGACCCGCTCCCTGCTATCGACCAAGGTTTAGCCATCATGACCCGCTCCCTGCTATCGACCAAGGTTTAGCCATCATGACCCGCTCCCTGCTATCGACCAAGGTTTAGCCATCATGACCCGCTCCCTGCTATCGACCAAGGTTTAGCCATCATGACCCGCTCCCTGCTATCGACCAAGGTTTAGCCATCATGACCCGCTCCCGGCTGAGACCAAGGTTTAGCCATCATGACCCGCTCCCTGCTATCGACCCAGGTTTAGCCATCATGACCCGCTCCCTGCTATCGACCAAGGTTTAGCCATCATGACCCGCTCCCGGCTGAGACCAAGGTTTAGCCATCATGACCCGCTCCCTGCTATCGACCAAGGTTTAGCCATCATGACCCGCTCCCTGCTATCGACCAAGGTTTAGCCATCATGACCCGCTCCCTGCTATCGACCAAGGTTTAGCCATCATGACCCGCTCCCTGCTATCGACCAAGGTTTAGCCATCATGACCCGCTCCCTGCTATCGACCAAGGTTTAGCCATCATGACCCGCTCCCTGCTATCGACCAAGGTTTAGCCATCATGACCCGCTCCCTGCTATCGACCAAGGTTTAGCCATCATGACCCGCTCCCTGCTATCGACCAAGGTTTAGCCATCATGACCCGCTCCCTGCTATCGACCAAGGTTTAGCCATCATGACCCGCTCCCTGCTATCGACCAAGGTTTAGCCATCATGACCCGCTCCCTGCTATCGACCAAGGTTTAGCCATCATGACCCGCTCCCTGCTATCGACCAAGGTTTAGCCATCATGACCCGCTCCCTGCTATCGACCAAGGTTTAGCCATCATGACCCGCTCCCTGCTATCGACCAAGGTTTAGCCATCATGACCCGCTCCCTGCTATCGACCAAGGTTTAGCCATCATGACCCGCTCCCTGCTATCGACCAAGGTTTAGCCATCATGACCCGCTCCCTGCTATCGACCAAGGTTTAGCCATCATGACCCGCTCCCTGCTATCGACCAAGGTTTAGCCATCATGACCCGCTCCCTGCTATCGACCAAGGTTTAGCCATCATGACCCGCTCCCTGCTATCGACCAAGGTTTAGCCATCATGACCCGCTCCCTGCTATCGACCAAGGTTTAGCCATCATGACCCGCTCCCGGCTGAGACCAAGGTTTAGCCATCATGACCCGCTCCCTGCTATCGACCAAGGTTTAGCCATCATGACCCGCTCCCTGCTATCGACCAAGGTTTAGCCATCATGACCCGCTCCCTGCTATCGACCAAGGTTTAGCCATCATGACCCGCTCCCTGCTATCGACCAAGGTTTAGCCATCATGACCCGCTCCCTGCTATCGACCAAGGTTTAGCCATCATGACCCGCTCCCTGCTATCGACCAAGGTTTAGCCATCATGACCCGCTCCCTGCTATCGACCCAGGTTTAGCCATCATGACCCGCTCCCTGCTATCGACCAAGGTTTAGCCATCATGACCCGCTCCCGGCTGAGACCAAGGTTTAGCCATCATGACCCGCTCCCTGCTATCGACCAAGGTTTAGCCATCATGACCCGCTCCCTGCTATCGACCAAGGTTTAGCCATCATGACCCGCTCCCTGCTATCGACCAAGGTTTAGCCATCATGACCCGCTCCCTGCTATCGACCAAGGTTTAGCCATCATGACCCGCTCCCTGCTATCGACCAAGGTTTAGCCATCATGACCCGCTCCCTGCTATCGACCAAGGTTTAGCCATCATGACCCGCTCCCTGCTATCGACCAAGGTTTAGCCATCATGACCCGCTCCCTGCTATCGACCAAGGTTTAGCCATCATGACCCGCTCCCTGCTATCGACCAAGGTTTAGCCATCATGACCCGCTCCCTGCTATCGACCAAGGTTTAGCCATCATGACCCGCTCCCTGCTATCGACCAAGGTTTAGCCATCATGACCCGCTCCCTGCTATCGACCAAGGTTTAGCCATCATGACCCGCTCCCTGCTATCGACCAAGGTTTAGCCATCATGACCCGCTCCCTGCTATCGACCAAGGTTTAGCCATCATGACCCGCTCCCTGCTATCGACCAAGGTTTAGCCATCATGACCCGCTCCCTGCTATCGACCAAGGTTTAGCCATCATGACCCGCTCCCTGCTATCGACCAAGGTTTAGCCATCATGACCCGCTCCCTGCTATCGACCAAGGTTTAGCCATCATGACCCGCTCCCTGCTATCGACCAAGGTTTAGCCATCATGACCCGCTCCCTGCTATCGACCAAGGTTTAGCCATCATGACCCGCTCCCTGCTATCGACCAAGGTTTAGCCATCATGACCCGCTCCCGGCTGAGACCAAGGTTTAGCCATCATGACCCGCTCCCTGCTATCGACCAAGGTTTAGCCATCATGACCCGCTCCCTGCTATCGACCAAGGTTTAGCCATCATGACCCGCTCCCTGCTATCGACCAAGGTTTAGCCATCATGACCCGCTCCCTGCTATCGACCAAGGTTTAGCCATCATGACCCGCTCCCTGCTATCGACCAAGGTTTAGCCATCATGACCCGCTCCCTGCTATCGACCAAGGTTTAGCCATCATGACCCGCTCCCTGCTATCGACCAAGGTTTAGCCATCATGACCCGCTCCCTGCTATCGACCAAGGTTTAGCCATCATGACCCGCTCCCTGCTATCGACCAAGGTTTAGCCATCATGACCCGCTCCCTGCTATCGACCAAGGTTTAGCCATCATGACCCGCTCCCTGCTATCGACCAAGGTTTAGCCATCATGACCCGCTCCCTGCTATCGACCAAGGTTTAGCCATCATGACCCGCTCCCTGCTATCGACCAAGGTTTAGCCATCATGACCCGCTCCCTGCTATCGACCAAGGTTTAGCCATCATGACCCGCTCCCTGCTATCGACCAAGGTTTAGCCATCATGACCCGCTCCCGGCTGAGACCAAGGTTTAGCCATCATGACCCGCTCCCTGAGACTGCCGCACTGGGCGCGCTTCTTCAAGTCTGAGTGAGGCGGCCCGGGGTCGGGGCTCGAAAGGTCAGGCTGTTGACCTTCGTTATGCCCGTACGGTGGGAAAGTCGGCTATTGGCCATGACCTGGGCAACGATTACGTGTCGCGTAAGAACTGAGAGCCGGGGTTAGGTATTATTTTTGGAATGGGGAATGCCGTAGTCACAAGTGTCACGGCTTGCTTAGCCGAAAAGGCCTGGCTCATACTATGATAGAGGCTTGCACAAGCCTGGCTCTCAGTCCGTTCAAGATGCACTGACGGCACATACATTGTAACTTGTGACTTCAGACATAACAATAATTATTATGTCTGAACTCTGAAGTTATGATTGTGCATATTATGTCTTTTAAAGCCTGACACACATACCGTAAAGTACCGCCAGAGCGCCCCACCATCTCGTCCTTTCGTGGTCGCATTGTGGAGGTGGTCTGCTGTCTGTAGGTCATACGACATGAACCTTGTACACATATAGCACGTTTTCCAGTCAATCCGTACCTTCGAGCGGACACAAGCTCCACACAAAAGCCTGCCAAGTGTGACCTTAGTAC